GCTCCCCCGCGGGTCCCCCGCCCCACGCCGCCGGAGGGGGCGGAGCCGTGAGCGCAGCGCGTTGCCAGGCCAACCCCGGGCGGGGAGCCGCGCGCCCTCCCGCCGGGCACCACGCCCCGGCGCCGCAGCCCGCCACGCGCGCTCCGGCTCACCGCTGATTGGGTGCGGGTTCTGGATGGACGCGGGGGCAGCCCAATAGCGGTTGCTGGGGGCGCGGCCGCGGATCCCGCGCGCGCCACGGGTCCGCACGCGCCGTCCACGCTGGCGTCCGCGCGCTCGCTCCCCACTGGAGCTGCTTTCCCGGCAGGGTTGCATCTCAGCCGGCGCCGTCTAGGCACCAACACTTTGGGTAGCCCTCGGTCCTCTGTGAACCTGTTGTCCAGGTGGGACTGATTGCACCTGCTTCCCTGGACAGTTGAGACAGTCCCGGCGTTATATGTTAGCTACCCCAACTTAAGGCCTCTGTACACACCTGAAAAGAAATGCTACCTGCTCCTTGCCTTCCATGATCATTGCGGTTTTACATTGAGTGATCTCCGGGAGTCAATTGCCAGGCCTTTCTTTCTACTGTCTTCATCTGGAAACTCTGCTTAAAACTGTTCAGCATAGCAAGACGCAAACCTCCATGGACAGATGGGTGGGAATTGAACCAGGGTCTCCTGCATATAGAGTGTGTAAAATGGCTTTGCAGACCCTAAATATTCACACAAGGGAAGGAGTCAGAAGAGTGCTGTTGAGCTCTGCTCCTCAACCCACCCTCACTTCCAACATGCAGAGACTTGGGGAGTCCCTGGTAACCCCTGCCCAGGAAGGTTACTTTGGAAGGCAAAGGAGAGAGCCAGTTCAGCCAAGACCAGGACCCTGTTGGAACCTTTGAGAAGTTCCTCTGTTTTCAGTTTCAGGGTGTTTGGGAACCCCAGAGTCCACAGTGGGTCTCAAGTCCCCCTAACTCCATTGTTGTCGTCTTCACCTGAAGCATTGTGTATCTTAGAATGTCGCAGGCAAAATGCAGATGAAATTGCAGCTAACACTTCTATCACTTTCCACCATCGCGTCCAAATGACTCAGCGAACCCCAGTCCTTGATGGGAAGCCCAGGCACTGACAATTCACAGAGGTGGAGAGAGGATGGTGACCCAAGCCATTAGGAGTCGGGTGGGGTCTGCCTCTTCTCACTGGCCATGGTAATGCAGGAAGTGAAGACCAAAGGCATTTGGCCATCAGCTGGAGGGGCTGCTTTTGGGTACCTTCCCCCACAGCCAGGCTGGATTGGGCTGGGTTTCCGAGACTGTAAATCTTTAGGGGAGCAGATAACCATATCTGTCTCCTTTGGAGCAGCATGTAGGTTTGAATCATGCACCTTGTCGTTAGCAGCCTAATGCTTAATCTGCTATACCACTAGGGCTACTTCTTCTGTCAAAAGGGGATGCAAATTGGCTATCTTCTGAGGGTAAGCCTCTGGAGTAATGCATGTAGGAAATACACGAAGGCACTACTGGTCAGAGATGGAAGGGGGCAGATTCTCCTGTCAGATCTGGGGTCAGAATTAAGCTGTTTTCAGGGCAAAAATATGCAAGACTAAATTGCCCCTTCAGCTGTTCAGCATGAGTGCAGAGACTGGCCTATTGGGGCTGACTTGGCCTCTATGGCTCATTCCTGGCAGCCCTCTCCAGACTGGGGAAAGAGTGCATTTGTTTATGTGGCCATCATTACCCATGTAGTTGGGCACAGCTGCTGTCACATGTTGTTGATTCATTTCTGACACATGGAGACCCCACGTATAACAGAATGAAACATTGCCCAGTTCTACATCAGCTTGGCATGGTTGATACGTTTCAGCCCACTGTTGAGACTATTCAGTCAGTCATCTCACTGGCAGTTTCCCATTTTCATTAGTCCTCCATGTTACCATGATCTCCTTTACCAGCCATCGGGCTTTCCTGATGGTGTGTCCCATGTAAGCTAGTACAGGTCTCACCATCCTTGCTTCTAAGGGGCATCCTAATTGTATTTCTTCTGGGACTGATTTATTCTGGCAGTTTGAGTATTGTGAAGCCTGCTGGAGGAGACCCACTGGGACTCTGGGGCATATGGCAATGGTCCTAGGATGGAATCCTGAATGAAGACACTCAGGGCAAAGCTGCTGCAGCAGGGAGGCGGCTGGTGATGTGGGGTAGAAAGGGTCTGAAGAAGTGTGAGAAAACACCAGTGTGGCTGGATCAGCAAGTGTGTGAGGCCATGAGGCTGCAAGGCTGGTGGGTGGACCCTTGGGTAGGACAAGGGATGTTGGCCTAAGAACCAGTGGAGAATTTTAAGATTCTCATTTTCAGTTCAAGTAAGAAAGTTCTTGAGCTTTCATTTCATATTTATTCAGAGTCAGATTTGCCCCATGAACAATGCAACTCATCCTAATACACATAATTAAATCACACAAAAATCCATTACTCAGTCCAGATAAAATAAGGCGGAGCAGAGAAGAAAGAACGAGTTCAATGAAGTACCAGCTACATTTGTGTGGTCATGGGAGAGATCTGTGTGTCGGGAAGTAGCCTTGTAGTGATTGGGGATTCAGGACCCTGAAGACAGAGGTTGGTATCAGAATGCCCAGACACCAGGGCAGGGGACCATGAAGCCTTACAGCTGGACAGTGGGCCATGATAAGGGCATAGTGGATTCCGACTCTAGGCAACTCCCCATGTGTCAGAGTAGAACTCGTGTTTAAGTCAGTGTCCTCCACTGGATTTTCAGAAGGAGATCGTAGGGCCTTTCTTCCAAGGGGACTCTGGGTGGACTTGAACCTCCAACCTTTTGGTTAGGAGTTGAGCACGTTACCTGCCTGCCCCAACTAAGTCCTCCTAAGCAGCTGATCCTGACTCCTGTGTGTTAGATGAGCTGTGCCCTGGAATTCCAGTGAATGTGTGTGTCACCTGTCTCATTTGGCCTGGATGTGGCTTTCTAAGGGTTTGAGATGGGGGAGTCTCTGTCTTTGAATGGGGCCTGGCCTGTGACAATGCCACCCTCTCTCGCTGGTTCGTCTCTGTCCCAACCCTGCTTGCCTCCCACCCCCAGCCTCCTACCTTCTCAGGCTGCAGGTGGTTTTCTCGGCTCATTTTCTTGGGGTCTGTGTGCAGCCCCCCTCCCCTTGAATAAGCCATTGCAGATCTGGGTTAGTTATAAATAGCTGGGCCCTCGACTCTTTTAGCTAGAAAGCAGCAGTGAATCAAATCAAAAGGGAGGCACACCCAGCATGCTGTTTTATTTTTACTCCTCTCCCCAGGATCTCAATCTGAGCCCTAATCCCAGAGTGTAGCCTTTCCAAGAGCCTATGGAGAATGCCTAGTGCCTGTCATATGTCCTTGGGAGCTCCAGTCCCTCTTTGGGCCTTACTGTCCTTACTGAGGTTGGCAGTGGGATGAGCAGCTCCAGCATTTGGACCCTGCTCCTGCAACCTTGCGCATTGGCAGAAACCAACAACTGTCCTGAGGTTTCCCAGGAAGTCCAATCCTTGGTGTGAGGAAGGCCAAATACTGATGTGACAATTAAAGCCTGGACCATCATGGAAGTTCAGCTCAAACTGACACCTCCCTCTGTGATCTGGTGGTTCAGTGTTTAAGTGCTTGGCTGCTAAGCCAAAGATTGATGATTGAAACCCTTGGGAGAAAGATGAGACTGTCTAGTTCCATAAAGATTTACAGCCTTGGAAACCCTCTGAGGCAGTTCTACTCTGTCTGAGAGGCAGAATCAGCTCATGGCAGTGGGTTTGGTTTGGGGTTGGGTTGTGAGCTGTGGTAGGGCCAGTCCAGGTCCCTGGTCTGCATAAGTGGGACCCATGACCATGCTTGTGGTCCTATACCAGTCAGTCTGGGGGGAGCAGAGCCAGGACAGGGGGCCGTCAGTGATCTGGATAGGTAGGTGTGCAATGAGTGGGAAATGCAGGGTCACCAGGAGGGACTGGGGAATGGGTCATCCACCTGTGGTGACCAGGTGCTCTTTGGGCCTTGCTGGTAGCCGGAACTGAGGATGTACACAGTAGTAAGTCCACTGGTGATGGTTCTGTTCACACATACAGAAATCCACAGTACAGAGAGCATGTTCCCTCCTGCTACTCTACTGGGGCTTCCCAACCTTTGCCCTGTTGCTTATCTCAGAGAGGTAAAGGGGCTTGCCCCAGGCCATACAAATGGGAAAGAGTACATTGAGGAATGGGACCAGGACTTTTCTAGAAATCGATGTGTGAAAACTTCAAAGCACCATAGCAATCTCACTAGGAACAACTGTAACAATGGCTCCTGTGTGGTGGATGCTCTGAGGTCAGATGGGGCTGAGAACCCTAGTCTAGCCACACGACCTACCCACGAGACTAAGGAGTAGGCAATGGGGTCTCTGGACACCCAGAGGTGAGGAGTGGTGTGGTGGAGTCAGGGGTCCTTGAGGATGTGAGAGGAGTGGGAGGCAGAGAGGGAGGGACACCGAGAGTGGTAGGAGGCTGTCAGGGGTGTGGAGGGGTGCTATAAGAGGATGGGAGGGTATGGGAGCTTTGAGGGACAGGGAAGAAGGGTCTTGAGAGGTTATGGACCCTGTTCCCCTCCCCCAGCAGGTCCTGGGTATGGGGGAGGCTGGGTTTCCCATGCTAATTTGCCTGGGAGACATGCAGGCTAATTACTGCCCAGTCTGACCCCCTGGGTAAATTAACAATGGAACCAGAGCAGAGGGTTGGGCCCCCTTGGGGCTTTAGCGGCAGAGGCTGGTGCAGACTGGAAAGAGAGCCCTGAGCACCCACCCCACCCCTTGGGAAAAGCCTGCTCTGTCTCCACTCTGCAGCAGAGGCCAGCGTCCAGGCCACAAGGCTGGGTCACTGCTCTGCCCTCTAGGGAGTCTGGTTCCTGCCCTGGACTTCAGCCTGTCCACCCAAAAGCCAGGCTGACAGACCCTCAACCAGATTCTACTTCTGGCCCCAGGGGCCTCCACTCATGCCGCTCTGAGCAGCCTACTGTTGTGCAGGGGTCCAGAGCATCGTCAGCAGTGGCCTGATCCCCTCACTGGTATGGAAACTGCAGCGGGAGGAGGAGGCGTCAGTCCAGATGCTCATCCTGGACACTCTGGCGGCCTGCCTTCAGGAGGATGCTGCTGCTGTTGAGGCCCTAGACAACCGCGTGGTGCCCTTCCTCAAGGAGCTGCTCCTTAGCAACTGTGATGACATCCGCAGCAAGGCTGCCCATGCCCTCATGGCTGTCTGGTGAGTCCAGGCTCCTCATTGGTTCGGGCCCTGGGGGTATGTGAGTGGCAGACCCTTTACACAGGGGTATTGGGTCAACTACTTTCCCAGAGGGGTCCTGAAGCTCCCACATTCCGGAAAGCCTCTCGTTCTTGGCCAAATGAGGTGGTTGCTCTCCCAACGTCTCATGAGGAAGTAGCTGCATAGTCCCTGATGTTTGATACATGCCCAGAGAGCCCACCACCTTCATTCTCACACCTTCAGAAGTGACCTCACCTGACTCCCCACCTGAGGGAACCTCCCCACCAGGGACCACCCTGTGACCGCTAATCCTGTCACAGTCCGTGTTGTCCCTAGAATGGTGCTAACTATCCTTCCAAAAGAAGGTATAACACACTTATTCTGCACAAAAGAAATCCAAAAGACAAGTTGTTGTTAAGTGCCATCAAGTTATTTCCAACTCATAGAGACCCTGAATACGGTTTCTAAGGAAACCTGGTGAATTTGAACCTCTGACATTATGGTTCAAATTGACCATGTGGTCTGGTGCTTATCTTACAGCACCACACCAGGACCCCAGAAAGACAAGAGGCTTAGGGAAATGGAAGGTAGGTTTATTATAAGCATAGGTGTTCTTACAGATAGGTAAGAATGGTCTACCTTGTGAATGAAGAGGAGTTGGAGCCCCAAATACAAGTTGACTTCTTTGTAAGTCCCTTTTCAGGGGAGTGGGCTATTCTGATTCGAGGTCCCCAGGGAATTGGTCCATGTACAGTTTCCTTGAATCCTGTGTTCTCAGGTTTCAGCTTATCCTCAACTAACTTTATTTCTCCTTACAGTAGTTTCCCCTCTTAACAGAACTTTATTTCCTCTGGCAGTTTTCCTTCGGCCTCTTCCCCTTTCTGAGAAGCTTCTCATTGCTGATAGGCTTGCTTCCTGCTGAGGCAGGACATACCTAGAGTGATCTGAAATCCCCTTCTTTCTCTGTTTTAATGACCTAATAGTCTAACCAGGCCTGGCTAGTTTTACCCCTTCTGGCTCTGACTGGGGTCTGTGCCCCTGTTTAGGATCCAGGGAGAACATGTCTATTTTCTTTTATCCAGAATAGCTTAAGGCTCTGGCACCATGCCATGTACAGTTCTGGACCACAGGAATGGTCACCACAGTGGTCCTGGGCTAGGCCCCCGCAATCCCTGCCGTCTCCTTTCTGCACAGTATCCCTCTGGAAGGCAAGAACCAGGTGTGGCAGTATGATGTGATTCCCATCCTGGTGCACCTGCTGAAGGACAAGGCTGAGGAGGTGCAGGCCAATGCTGCTGGGGCCCTGATGTATGCGGCAGTTACCACTGCAGGTGAGACATGAGGAGCTGCCCTGGGTCTGGGTGGGCAAGGTGAATGTGAGCCAGTTTGCTGCAATGAACTTTTCAGAATCACCCTTCTCTGGCACAGGGTCCAGGTACTCCTCACAGGCCAAAAAAACCCTTTTTCCTGGCCACAGTGGCCCCATGGTGGACTCCTCACTAGCCATTCACAGTGGGCTCCCTGTCCTCACACAAAGATCTTCCCTGGCCCAGGTCCCTTGTAAGCCACCATTGTGGGATTGTCACATTGCCACCCGTGATTCTGTTCTTCTGGAGTCTTTACAGATAATGGAACCTTCCATTCTTTTCCTCTTTTAATTGTGGAAATATTTGAGGGGGTTTTACAAAGTTGGTTGAAAAATTCCTTTATCTTTCCATTCTCTTTCTCCAGGAACTTTTTTTGAAGCCCCCTCATATGTAACATGTTTTTACTGGGTCACCATTTCTCACATGTATAAGTCAGTGACACCAGTCACATCCATTGTGTGCCACAACCATCACTAATACCTGTTGCCAAATTTTCCACTATAAACAGAAATTCACTGCAAAATTACTTAGCTCAATGTAGGGGTACAGGTTCCCTGCCCTCATCCTTAGGGCACGCTGGGCATTCCTGGGCCTGGTATCTGTGCCTGGAGGTTGGGGCCTTGTGTCCTTCTCTGCCTGCGCATCCTGGGCGGAGGGGGTCAGAGGGCTGTGGGCCCAGGACCTGGGGACATGAGAGTGGCCTCCAAGACCCTGCCTGGGCCAGGTCCTCAGCTAGGCAGTGGAGACCCAGGGGCATCTCTAGGGTGGCAGAAGTGAAAAGTAACAGGGTGGGGGCATGGAGTGGAGGCAGACCCAAAGGACAAGGGGCAAGGGGTCTGAGGTAGGCTAGAGAAGGGCTGACCATGCAGGTGGGCTGGCCAGGAGGGGGGCCCCTTTCCAAACTCTGCCAGTGTCAGCAATGGGCTGTGATATGAGGTGACACCACGTGAGACTTTGTACCTGGCATATAGTGGTGTTTAAGAATATCTGCCATGTACACAGAAGATTAGACTTACAGTTTGATCAGAAGCACCATGGGTGGCAGTGGTGGGGTCGGACCTGTCAGAGATTCATGGGGTATGTTGGTGTCCTGCAGGGAAGTATGCAGCTCTGGACGCAGAGGCCATTTCTCCACTGCTAGAGCTACTGTGCTCGTCCATGAGCAGTGTGCGTCTTAATGCCCTCAAGGCCCTCACAATGCTGGCTGAGGCCCCTGAGGGCCGCCGTTACCTGCAGGCCCACGTGCCCACCTTCCGAATCTGTGAGATGGATGTTAACCAGGCCGTGCAACAGGCAGCCCACATCGCCATCCAGGTCATTGAGTGGAAGCCCTGAGCCAGCTGTAAACGCTGCCTCCATGAATAAATTGGCTCATCTCTTCATCTCTGGTCAGAATGACTCTTGGTGTTCCTTGAGCATCTCACCAAAGGGGATGGGGTGACGCAGGTAAGGCACATAGGCCCATGGTGTCCTTGGGTGACCTCTCTGCTGGGGTCATGGGCCTGGGGGCCAGGCAGCCCCTCAACAGGCAGAGTGCAATAACCGAGTCCTCAGTGACAAGGAGGTGAGCCTTCAGAGACTTGCTGGACCAGGTCTGTGGGTATGTAGGCATGGCCATGGCAGGCCATCCTAGGACCTTGCTTAGCCAAATCTGCCCTCCCACAGTGAGTGGCCGGAAGGGAGGTCAAAGGTGCGAAATCCTCCTGGAGAAGCAGTGAGTGCTGTGTTGCTGCAAATAGCTGCTTGCTTCTCCAAAGCACAGAAGTTGCCTTGTAAGGTCCTTGGCTTGCCTGAAGCAGACCACAGACCCCTGCCTCTCCACTGCACCTGCTGCACTCAGGGCAGCCCCAGAATGTGTTGACCCCATGCCTCATTCTGCCCTACTTCTCCCACCTCCTTGAAACTGGACAAGGATGCTGGTGAGCTTGGAGCAAGAGAGAAAAGGGCTGAGTGAAGTGGTATGTGGGGAGAAGGGGACTGAGTGAGTGGTGTGGGAGGAAGAGAAAGGGGAGACTGCTATGCATTGAACTGAGCTCCCAAAAACTGTGTGCTGTAAATCCTAACCTCTAATGCCTGTGGTTATAATCCCATTTGGGCATGGGTTGTCTTTGTTATGTTAATTAGGAGGGATCATTGCAGGGTGTGTCTTGAGTCTATCTATTTTGAGATATGAAAGAGATTAAGCAAGCAAGCTAAGAAGCAGAGAGGGGGGAAGGGCTATGCCAAGCCACAGGAAGACCCCCCAGGAGCAGGAACTCAGAAGAGACAGAGCTATAGAGCCTTTCCCTAGACCTGGTACCCTGTATTCACACTGCTAGCCTCCTCAATGGTGAAGAAATACATTTCGGTTCCTCATACTCACTTACTATTGGTATTTCTGTTATAGCAGCAGTCGAGAACGAGCGTAAAATTTGGGAGAGCAGGGTTTTTGCTCTAACAAAAACCTACAATGTGGAAGTGGTTCTGGAATTGGATGGAAGCTAAAAGAGTTAAGGTGCGGTCATGGATTGAACTGTATCCCTTAGAAATATGTATTAGCTTGACTAGGCCATGATTCCCAGTAGTGAGTGGTTATGATCCATTTGTGATCAGATACAATTATTCTCCATTTTGTGATAGGTTATAAATCCTAACCTCTATATAATAATGAGGCAGGGTCAGTGTGGGGTGTATCTTGAGTTGCAGCCTACCAAGAGGGTAGGACTGAAATTTTCCTAACATAATGGAAAGTGAAAAGATAAGCATTCAAGAAGCTCAACAAACCCCAGGATGGAAAGACCCTAAAAGACAATCACCAAGACATATACTAATCAAGCTCTCCAAAATCAAAGATAAGGACAGGATCTTGAAAGGAGCTAGGGAAAAGAGAAATATAACATACAAAGGCAA